AAATTGTGGACAACCCGATTTTTTGGACTTTTCGGCCGGGCAGCTAGTCTGCCCTTGGACTTCGGATTAGACTTGGATGACAACTTCCAGAGAACGGCACCTCTGTTCCGCGGTTCCTAAGCGCCAGCGTCAGGTCGTCCCGGCCAGCGCTGCGGACCGGGCGGCGGGCTCGTGACTGCACCCGCCGCTCGGTCGCGGCCCGCTGCCCCGGCCCCCTCACCCCCCCCCGCCACCTGCCGCGCCGGAGCAGGCCGTCACCCCCGGGAACGGCGGCGCTGGCCACCTCCGGCGCCCCGAGGCGGGCTTCGCTCGCTCCCCCGGCCTGCCGAGGTCGCGCTGGGCCCGACAGGCGGCAAACACGCCGCCGTCAGGCCGGCGCGGCACGACGCTGAGGCCCGCACGCGCGCTGCACGGCGCACGCCGACCGCCGTGAGCCGTGCTCCCGTGCGGGCGGGCGCGCGGCGGCGGGCAGCGGGGGCGCGCCCGCGAGCCGCCGCCGCCGCCTGCAGCGCGTTACTCACCCATGGCCGGCTGGGTCTGGGCAGGTTTTGACGCGTCTGGGTGTGGGCCGGCCTTGGCGTGGTTTGGCGGCAGCTGTGATGTTGCGACGGCGGCGTGCGGCGTACCCCAGGCGGTCGGGGCGTGGGAACGAACTGCTACTGTCGTGGGACGCCAAGGGTGCTCGGTGACCGGGATCTGCGGTCAGCTGATCCTCGGGCAGGCGGGCCAAACGCGCTAACGGTGGCAGATTTCGGGGTGGTGTTCGGCTTACTGGGCGGCGGGCATCGAGTTCCGTTGTAGGTGCGGTGCGGTTTGATCGATTGGTCGCGAGATATGTCACGGACGTCAGGGATTGGACGAGGCGATGGAACGATAGACGGCTGATAACCTGGAGACCACCTCCGACTGAAAAATGATCTGACTGACAGCCGTCAAGATTGTCAACATGGGACACAGACGTGAAAGTGTTTACCTTGGGTCGCGGTGGGTGCGACACACGCGTCTCGACGAGGGCCCGGGGTGGCCCGGATTTCACATCGCTTCTGTGAAAACGGGCAGAATCCGATGCACTCTCGTGTGCACCAGATCCAGAATCTAATCTCTCGAAGCGCCGCACAAAGTCCAGCTTTGTTCTGCAAGGCACTGATTAGCGTTGACGGCGCTTTGAGCTCGCATACGCGGCATACTGACAGCCGGCTGATAGCAGACGCGTGACTCTCGGCGGAGTGTGTCGGAGTGACTCTCGACGGAGTGTGTCGGGCTCGAGCGGACGGCGCGGTTCAGATCCGAGCGGGTGCTGACGGGACAGCCGTTTAACGCCCGGGGACCGATAGCGCGAGCGGCGAACCCATCGCCCCATCTGTGGTCCGTGATCAGCCGCATCTGTCCAATACCGTCCAATTAGCATGCGTCTCCTGTTACTACGATAAAGCCGCTCTGTTTTTCACCGCTGGGCTGTTGTTGTCGCCGGGCCTTTAGGGGCGCCATGGAGATCATGGCCCGTCAGCGGACGGTCTTAAACGGCCCGTATCGGCGGTAAAATCCCGCGACGATCCCGGCGCGTCCGCGTCTCACGCCATCCCGGCGCCTGCCGCGCCAATCTCGCGCCTATCGCGGCACATTCGCTGCTAACGAGGCGCGCCACGGAGCCGGCGCGCCGGCGACGAAGGTGACGCGCCCTGCGCGCGCCGGTAACGAAGGTCCGCCGGCGGCGGGCGACGACGCAGGCGATCGTATCGGCGGCGAGGGGCGGCGCAAGGTCAGCTGAGGTCGCCAGCCGCGCCGCGCACGCCGCGAGAAAGTCGAGAGCGTCGCTGAGAGTTGCGGTCAACTGCACCCGTGCCAGTCGTGCCCGTGTCAGGGGCAGCTGGTACCGTCCCGCCGCTGTGCAAACCCAACCCGCTCCCGCAAACAGCTGGCGACGCGCCCGCCGGTTCACGAACAGATGGGCGCTTAGTGCGCGCGCTGACCTGATCCGACCCGACCCTAACGCTGCTGCGAGCGATGCTCTCACAGTTAGGCGCTGATGGAACTGGTGGGCACCGAAAACTAGTTCGTGCGTTTGCGAGTCGGATAATTATCCCGGACCCGCCACCGAACGTGTGCGCTCGGTCGCCGGCGGCATCAGCCAGCCGCCAGTCATCGGTGTGTTGAGCGCAGCGACTCGCCCCTCGTGACTCCATTGGGCGGCAGGACGCGTTCCGCCCGTGCCCACCACCGACTCCTTTGTTTCGCCCACGACGGGGCGCCAGCTGGCGGCGCCGTGAAATCGCCGACCGCTGACCCGAGCCGTCCCGCTCGGCCGTCATTGGCTGTGTCACGAACGGGGTCGGGCGGGAGCGGGCGCCCGGACCGCGTGAGTCCCGTGAGTCACCCGCCGGTGGCGGACACGGCCGATTTCTTGCGGCCGCGGACACTGCTCGGCGACAGCGACGAGCGCCGGTCGCTGCGTTTTGTCAAGTCGGACTGGGAACATGTGACGGGGCCGTTTCGCAGTTTTTGCGGCATTATCTGTCTTTCTCCAGCACGGACCGACAGCTGTGTGTTATGCCGGCGAGTCGCTTGTGATTCCGGTATGTGCTGCTCCAGAGCTGTCGTGACAATCGTGCTGCGAGTGTGCAGTGTGCATTGCAGGGCTGTCAGAGACTAGAACGCCTGCAGGTTATGGGCTATGGGCGGGGGACAGGCAAGTGTGAAATGGGACACGGGTATTCGTGCTGGACTAACCAGGGTCTCCTTCGGGGTCATGCTTGCACAACACGTATCTTGTCGAAACACGGGCGCTTTCCGTTATGGAACTTGGGACAATGGGCATGCTCACTTATCACCAAGGAAATCGTGGGGGAAGTTAGAACGGAGACACTGCCTGGATTCCTGAGGTCTTATTCCTTTTCGTCGGCCCCGCCTTCAGCCCCCAGCGTCAGATGCGCTGGCCCCGCCTCTGGGCTGTCGTCGGCCGAGGACGGCGGCGGCCCTGCGGGTCCCCGCCTGCTCAGCAGCGGCAACACCCGGTGACCCAGCGCCGGGCCTGGGAAGAAGAACTCGGCCTGCTGACCGGCGGCGGATGTTTGCCTGCGGGCGGCTGGGTCAGCCGTGCCTTCGCCGGCTGGGTCAGTCGTACGGCCGGCCCGCAAGCCCACCTCGCTCGGCTCCTGCCCCCGCACGTGCCCCCACTGCGCTCCGTGTCGCGGCTCATCACCCGCACCGCGGCAGACGGAGTCGTCGTGCCGGGACGCGAGGCTTAGTGATCTCTTCCTTTCCGTCTTCCGCGCGCTGCTCCGAGATTCCGACTTAAGCTGATTCCAGTGTCCGTCTCAGAAAGGAGCTGAGTCCCGCCAAGTCTGTCCGCCAGGGTCTGCCTCTGCCTGGTGCTCTGTTCGCCCGCTGGCTGCCTCCCCAATCTTCCTTACGCTGCGCATACTGACACCTACCTTCCCGACCCTGATCTGGCCCGCTGAGTGCCCACCCGTCCCTGTCGGCGGCATGCGGCCCGGATACTGACACCTACCTTCCCCGACCCTGATCTGGCCCGCTGAGTGCCACCCGTCCCTGTCGGCGGCCTGCGGCCCGTGCTTCTCTCCGGAGGACGGCACCTTTTCCGGGCGGGCCAGGCCATGACGCTGTTGCAGGTGCTGCGGCTGGCGCTTGCGGTGCGCCGGCTGCGTCGCGCACTGCTCTGCCGGCGCCGAGGCGGCCGCCAGCCGCGTTCCCTCTCGCTCCAGCCGTCTGTGGGCCGCCGCCGGCCGCGCGCCGCGGCGCTGTCTCTCATCGCCGGCTGTGCTGGCCTGCGCTGCTCCTGACTTAACCGCTCCTCGTGACCTCCGATGCTCCTCACCCCTGCCGGTTCCCAACCTGCCTCTGCTGCAGTCCTCTCTTTTCTTGGATCGCTCGCGTTGGGACCTGTGACCACTCTGCGTAATTTTATCGGAGTCCTGTCATCTTACCATTATCATCCGACTCCGGTTCCCGGGAGCCACGCGTCCATTTGCGTCATCGCCGCGCCTTTGGTTACCATCATGTCTTGCGCCGAGGCCTCCTTGTTCGGTACCAGCTCGCCGGACGCCTGGTCCACCCCGCACATCCAAACACAACCCCTCAGTGAAGCAGAGCGTCGTCCGCGCGTTTGAAACACGCTGCTGGCCTTCGGTGCGCTCGCCCCGGCCAGCGCGCGACGGGCTGGCGCCGGACTGAAAGGTGGCTCTTACGCTCAGCGCGTGCTATCTCGGAACGTTGCGTCGTGACCAGGCAGTGGAGGGGACAGAAGAACCGGCTCCCGCCTCGTCTCGAGCGGACAACCACGTCCTGTTCGTCCGAGGGAGATGGTATCTCCGGCGACAGCGCGCGGCTGCGCCCGGCCGGTGGCCCGTCTGGCGCCCGCAGGCCACGGTGGTGGACCCACTGCTGCCCGGTGTGGCCGACACCGGGCGAACGCGCGTCATCAATAATGTAGCGGCAGTGATGGCCGCCGGCGTGCGCGCTGCGCCGGCTGCGCGGCGTGTGCGCGCGGACGATGGCCGGTGTGATGTGCGCTCTCTGGAGTCCTGCAGCGCTTGCGTCCGGCGAGGCGAGGTCGGTGGCGTCAGTCCGCCCTGCTGCCGTCCCGCCAGCTGCCGCGCTCGGCCGGGCTCAGCCGCTGCATGACGCCACTCATCCGGAAGAGGATGATTCGTTTACTTCCTCCCCGACGGCCGCCAAGTGCCTTCGCGGAACCGTCTTGCGAGTCGCCGGCGCCTGTTGAAGTCCGCCAGCCCGCTGCTGTCGAAGCCCGCCACTTCTCGTGGGATGTTGCTCTGACTTCCTCGCCGGCTCGGTCCTGACGGTGGTTAGTTACAACAAGTTTACCACTTGTTTACGGTTTCTCTCACGCAATCACACTTTCGGGCAGCTTGACACGCTTCTGCGGCCACCGCGTGCGAAACCGATTAGAGCTTGGAAGGTAATTACATGGACCCGCGTCCATGCCAGTCTGTGACGGCTGCTGATTTTCTCTCCCCTTCCAGATGTCGCCGAGCGTGAGGGAGGGTGGTGGCGAGGACGCCTGCACGCTGAAGAAAGGGTGATCTGGTACTGCAAGGACACGCTGCTGAGCCGCTGGAACTGGAAGGAGCGGTACTTCATCCTCACCAAGGATTACCTCTCCTGCTTCAAAAAAGCCAAGAGCCAGTACTCTGACATGGGAGCGTTTCTGTTTAAGGTGAGGAACACGCTTGAAAAAGTGCGCGATAAGTATGCTCTGCTGGTGCTTGGGTATGAGCCGGAGGATAGTGAAGCCGATAACGTCTGCGTCTCTGTTGCTCTACCCGCCAAGGGCACCGCGGAATGATTGCAATCGTCGACGATCGCTCCAGCGGGTCCACGGAGATCAGTGAGCTGGCTGTCTGACTCAGCAGCGCTGCCTGCCCCGCCGTTGGATGTCGTCTCGGTTTTTGCACAGAGCCGGTTTTTGCGGGCGGATTAGCTAACTGTTCGAGTGGTTAGCACACTTTGCGCACACAAGGTCACGCACCTGGTCTGGTGGTGTTACACTGGTGGTGAGAGCGCGATAGTAATCGAACAGAGCAAGACCGCGTGTCTTGAAACGGTCACAATGATACACGTGATCAACGCTATCGGGTTTGCAAGAGTTACGACTTAATCCAACACCACTGTGGCCATTCACTGCGGTCCCCGACTCACAAAACCCCCTGGCTATTCAATTACGGTATATCGCGGTTTGTTCCGAACCGCCGAAGGTGCCTGACAGTCCCGGTTGGCTGGCAATTTCGCCCATTCGGTGCGGCACTTTCGCCGACACCCCCGTGATTACAGGATCATCCCCTCCGACCTCTGAACCGATGAGTAGCTACCACTTACCTCCTGCTACCGGCTTCCAGCCGCAATCCTCTGACCTTGCCGACCCGGCGCGCACCTGAGCTTGTGCTCCGAGCCCGGCCGATCGCGCCGGTGACCCTGGTGACCTGGCCCGTAACCTGTCGTGCCCTCCGGCAGCTGCCCCTGGCCTCGCTCTGCGGTGTGGAGTGGGACCGGTTGCGTGGCATGGCCACCGTCGCCATCATCGACCCCAAGGAGGGACGCCTGCTCATCAGGTCGACGCAGGACGTCCTCGGACCATTGGTACAAGGTGAGCTCGGCGAAACGCCCGCTCAATCAGCCATGTAAATGCGGCGGGAGGGGCGATGCCTGGAGTGCGCCGGGACTTCTTTAGGCTGGTACCATCGTGAGAAATTTCCGCTGTTTTGTTCCGAACCTCTGACACCCGATGTCACGCCGGCTGATGAATTGTCGGACTCCTCGGGCTCAGACCGCCGATCCATGATCCCTCTATGTTCGGCCCGATAATGGACGGAGCCGCTTGGTTGGCTGACCCCCCTCCCCTGGGTCAGTTCGACTTCCGGGCCATCCCCGCATCAGCCTCCGTCGGTTTTCGTCAGTTTTCAGTCGGCCTTCCCTCGGTTTTTTCGCGTGTTCCTGCCGGTTCGCCCGCTTCCGGTGTGTTCCGCGCCGGCGTCATGGGCTTCCGAGCGCCGTCATGGACTTCCGAGCTCCGTGGCGTTTCCTCGGACGGCCTCGCCGGTCGCCGGTCGCCCTATCTCGGAATCGCCGGCTCGCTTCCGGCGCGCAATGCCGCCCACACCGCACTCCACCTCTGTGGAAATCGGACTCGAGCCACGCACACCAAGTGAGGGGGATTCGTCACCAGAGTGTCCGACTTTCTGATGGCGGTCCGTGGCTTCTGCTGAAACGGATCGCTTCGGCGGAATCGCTAATGCGGCCGCTAGACGCGAGTGAAAGGCCCCGATTTTGATGGCGCCCGTGACGTACCGGGCCGGCCGCCAAGGGTTGTGGCTTCCATCTTTATTAATGACGCCGTCATCAGTTTAGCTTCACGAGCCCGTTTCTCAACGACGAACCGGCCGGTTCTAAACAGTGGCCGAGACGCGCGAAGGTCCTTGGCGAGCCGAAGACGGCTGTTCAGGAATGCGCCATCCTTTGTTGAGCGAGGACAAACAAGTCGAAGGCTGACTGAGTGACACAGTTCTAGAGATCATACCGTGTTGCAAAGCATGTGAAAGACATCTACGCAAATGCTGACATTGTAAATGCCTTTCTTCATATGAATTTTGGCCTACACCTCGTGTCCTCTCGACTGCCAGACTTAATTGACCACTCTGACGACTTTACTTACTCTACTCACATTTACGGACCACTCCACGAGCAGCCGATGCCGAGCCAGCGACCTTTCTGGTAATGGACCCGGAACTTCGCCACTGACGGAGGGCGTCTGGCCTCACTTGACCCGTCAACTTTCCATCCCGGGCTCACAGCTGCTCTGGCTGCCGGCGGCCGTCGGTTAGGCGCTGCTCTCGACCCAAGCCGCCCCGGCATGACTGCTCGGCTGATGGTGTCTCATCCCCCCCCCCCCTCATAAATTCATTGCGCTGTCCATAAGAACCTTTCACGTGGACCGTATGTGCACCAACAGACTTCTCGGTCACTGCTAAGGGTATTTTGCCTGACCTCTGTTCGACCCGAAATGCCTGCGGCGCACATCCACCGTGTCAAGCTCTTTGCGTGGTTGAACTGTGGGTCGGCTGCTCCTGTCTCCTGGCGCTTTACTCACGCGTCTCCTGACAGTGCCCACTGTGATCGCCAGATATCCGTTTCAAGGGTTCTCGTTGGGGTTTCCTGTGCTAATCCGAAACCTCTGCACCCCCGCTGGCTTCACTGCCACTGGCTAGCAGCGGGTGTGCCGCCCCCGGCCCGGAGCAGGACAGGCCGCGCCGGGCGGACCCGGCTCTGCCAAGGCGTCTCCCGACGTCCCAGGAGCTCTATTAACGGCCCGCTCTCGCGTGCGCTCCGTTCATGCCGGGCAGACGGCCATCCGTCTTCTTCCCAACACCGGCATTGTGAACGTGTCATTACACCTGCCGGTGCTGGGCTCGGGCGGCGGCTCGTGGAGGTCGACGCCAGGCGGCGCTGCCGTCGTTGCCGTCCTCCTCCCGACCCCCGCCGACTCTCAAACCGACCTGAGGAGAACTAGACGACGGCTTGTGCTGCCGCGCCCACTGTCCGCGTCGCAGCCCCGACCATGGAAGGACGGGACTCGATGGTACGCCGCAGGAGCCGGTGTTGTTGCCCATCTGCGTGCGCACTGGCCGCCGCGGCGATCGGCTCTTCCTGCGGCCGGGGCGTTATCTGATGTCCATCCGTCCGGTCGGCCAGCCGCGCGGCCTCCGTGGCCGGTGCGTGAGCAGACGCTGCGGCGGCGCTTCCTGTCACGCGGTGTCTCTCGAGCGCGTCGTCGACCGGCGTGTCTGCAGGACCCCCTCGGGGGATCCGTGAGGGGCGGCGTGGCGTTCAGCTCCCGCAGGACCGTCCTTTGACCTCTCCCGTGATACAGCTGCCCGTGCAGAAGTGTGATGTCCCGCGGGCTCGTGGAAAACAAACACGGCAATCGCTTCAGGCTGACTTACCGCCGCGCACCTCTCACAACTGGGCTGAGCGGAGTTTAGCTGATTTGGGCTAAACTGAACTGAACCGAACTAAACTAAACTAAACTAAACTAAACTAAACTAAACTGAGCTGGACGAAACTGGACGGAACTGAACTGATACTGAACTGAACTGAACTGAACTGAACTGAACTGAACCTTCCCAGCTCCGGGAAGCCTGCCACCGCTCTGGCGCCCTCTCTCCAGAGTGTGAACTCAGCCGTGCCGACGGGTGACAGGCCTCCCACGCATCCAGCTACGTCATCATTCATTCGGTCCGTACCTGGGCGCCCCATCCCTTGTTTTGGTCGGGCTGGTGTTATCTTGGCATCGGCGGGAAGGCGCACCGCCGGGCCAGTTTGGGATCGGCGGCGCCGGTCGGCGGCGCCGCGGAGGGGATTACACCCGCTAATTTATTTTGGTCCCTTGTAACGATCACGCTGCTATCCACCTGGCTCATGGCATCCGTCTCCGAAGCTTGGCTTCTCCGTATAAACGCTATCAGTCTCAGGAGGTTCTCATTCGACGCCTCGAACCTGCTCCAGCTCATTCCCTGATAAATGAAGACCAGGTCTCGCGGCATCCCGTCCACACGATCCTTCACAATAACGTCTCGGCTAGGAAGCTTGCTAGACATAACACTGACCCAATTCGCAAACGCCTTGGTGCGGGGGGGGGGGGGGGGGGGCGGGGGGCGCGGGACCGAACACTGCCATTTCGGACGTCTCACGCCGAACGGTCCTTGCCGCCGGCGGTTCCCATGAGCGCGAGCCGTGTGCTTCGAACACACGCACTCACACGCACGTGGCGGCGCGCGCGCGCCCGCCTTTGTCTGCCGTCGGCGGGGCCCACCGGAGGGAGAGGCGTGCGTGGTCACTGGCCAGCGCTGGCGGGTGGACGGCGGCGCCCTGATGGGATCGCGCGTGACCGGCCGAATGGGACGTACAGCGCAGCCCGTCCCGTCGCCGCTGTGGAGGCAATCGCTCGGAAGCGATCGGCGCTGCCTGGTCGGCACATGTTAGCTGCCATCCATCAGATGATGCCCCCACCGGACACGGGGATCGCTCTGGAGTCGATCCGGGACAAAGGACTCGGTACGCAGCGGACTGAAAGGATTGCGCACGCTCGGCCTTCTGTTTGCGATTGGCCGATAACATGGGGGGGCTTTGCTTAAAGCGCATTTGTGAGGTTACATGAAGCTGGCGGTGGGAAAGGAATTCTTAAGACTGGTTTTGTGGGTGTTCTGGCATGTTTGAAATATGCGCTTAACATAACGCTGGGAACTGCATACGAAACTAGTTTTCGCGCTGTTGAGTTCTTAAAAAGGAAGACAAACCTAGCAAGTTGCAGCGACTGGCTACCTCCCGCCGTTTGTCTATACTCTAACACACCAATGATGCGCCCTGAGTCATCCAAAAAGCGATCGTCAACACCAGGACCTCCGTCTTCATCTCGGAGCCATGAGTCGCGTCCCCTCCCCTTTCCGAATTCCTGCGCCGTACAGTCACATCCGACCGGTGACCGCCGGATGCGGCTCTGCAGCTGACCGTCGTCACTCGCCAGCTGGTGCGCCGGCGCCGCCTCCTCCGCGTCGGGTGCCGGCCGGGCGGCGGCCTCCTCCGCCGGCGGCCGGCCTGGCGCCCGTCTCACGGTCCGCTCCCCTGATCATGAGCCGTGCCGTTTGTGTGACAAGTGAGGGGGGCGGGGGCACAGGCGTGCACGGGCGGCCGAGGGCGTGATGATTTACGTGGCATATGACAGCAGCGGGGCGATCCAAACAGCCGCGTAGTGAGACGCCGTGGAGTTGGCGGATTTCGACCAATGACAAATGCACGGAAGTTCCTGGACGGGCCCGTCCGCGACGTTTGCTCGCCGATGCCGGTGTTTCCGCTAACAAAAAACACAAGCTCGTCCTAGGCACATGAGAACTGAGAGCGGCACAGTCGTGGCCGCCCCTGCGGACCTCGTGTCTCGTGGCTTCCCCGCTTCCCCTGGGCGGTGACTGGCGGCGCCCCTGGGCAACGCCGCCCGCAGCGGTCAGCTGTCGGCGGGGCGGTTGGCCCGCCGACGGAGGCGCTTCCGGGCCGGCCACAGACCGCCGGTTCCGATCACCGCCGGCCCCCGACGGCGGCGGGCCGGCGCCCCGCCGCCGCAGAGGCTTCCGCCACCTTCCGCTGCGGCCGCGGTCACATCCAGTGCGCGGCCGCCTCTGATCACCCCCGGCTCGTTGGCGCCGCTGCTCCCCGCTGGTGTGTGCATATCTCACTCTCCCGCGCACGACTGCTCTTCGCATTCGTATTGCTCTTCCTTCGCCCTGTGGCATAATTCGCGTCCTCGTTTGTTCTGTTGCTTTCTGATCGCTTTTTATGTCACTTTTAGCCTACCGCTACGCCGTGCCGCCTCTCCATCATTCCCTCCCTCTATTGTTTCCTTAATGCCATGCTCGTTCGTTCAGCTGGTCTCGTTGTCTCCTTCAAAATGTAGTTTGTCTTTCCCTGCATCCCTCTCTATTTTCCTTCATCCATTTTGCGTCATTTCCATGAACACAGTTTCCGTGCGGTCGTCTCATGCTCGCCCACCGAGAAACCAGAAGACCTACGCAGAACAGCTGTCA